CTTCAACCCCCAAAAATTAGCTGCCATACAGGGGCATCAGTGTTTCACAAACGCATCTTTTTTTTCAGCAACTCCGTAGTCCTTTGACCAAAAAGCAAATCTGTCATATTCGTTTTATCACGTTGTTGATTTCAATTTATGGGGTACAGCTAAAATTCAAAATCTACATGATGTTTAAAATAAAAGGATCTGAAGCATCAATTTCCTTTTGAAATTCTTAACCATCAGTATCCATGGTCCCAATGTCCAAGTCTAGGTATGCTCCAAAGTTGAGGTCTCATGTAGCATCTTTCAAGAGTTCGAATTAATTTGATGGACTGAATTAAAATACATTTTACATTCCATCTTTTTCATGCCCTCGTAATCGAAGATTCGGGGGCATATAGCGTTTGTCCTGTCCGTCTGTCTGTTTGTCAAAAACAAAAACCTTGTCTATAACTATGTGTGGGCGGGGCTATAGCTTTCATATGCCGTTATGCAGTCTGTTTGTCAAAAAAAATAACCTTGTCTATAACTATGTGTGGGCGGGGCTATAGCTTTCATATGCCGTTTCACATGCAGTTATATTCCTTGTGACAAGACTTTTCTTCGATTACCACCAAATTTGACCCCTTGGCCTTGTAGTTTGACCAGCTTATGTCAGCTGTTGCCAAGGCTTTCATACTTCACATGTATATTCACTGTAATAAGGCCTTTCAATGGGTATAAATATTTTGATTTTTCAAATTGACTTTAGAGTTTGACCCGCTTTAAAAAAAAATTATCTTGGTCTTAACTTTTGAAGAGTTAATATTAGGGATTTCATATTTTTATATAGTTTTGTTCCTTATGACGAGAGCTTCCTTTGGATGCCAACAATTTTGACTTTTTTTAAATTGACTTTAGAGTTTGACTTTCATTTGAGAAACTTCAAACCTCGCTTTAAGATGCCATACCGGCATACGGGTGCATCCGTGTTTCACAAACGCATTTTGTGTTTTTTGTTTGTTTGCATGTTTGTTTTTTTTTTTCGAGGGGGGGTTATTACAATTTTATTATTGTGTTAAATTATCAAGAAGTGAGACTACTAAGAAATGAGACTAAGCACATGATAATAAACTGAACCTGACGTAAGAACAAAAAACTGCAACCTGTGTTGGTGGGGTTATCTAAATGCTATAGATCATATAAATTCTCCATGTCACTTCTTGTACTCTCATTACTTCATTATTACATTACATGGTAAGGCTCGATCTATAGTGAATTATAGTAATTGTCAGTTCACATTATATGATTCAGTTGTGTTACAGATCACCTTTTAAGATGTTGAGAACCCTTGTTCTATTTTCCATTCTGGTTGTTGTGCTTTCCGCCCCAGACCGAAGGTTCCTAGAACAAGGTATTGCAAATTTATGTATTACAGAAGGTATTCATATTTAAAACATACTTTCTTTACTTCACAATTGAGCTGTTGGTGTCTTCTTGATAAGGGAGATAAATCTAAAATTGAAACATACTTTATTTGGTTATAATAATCATATCAAAGAGTTATTCCTCTCTTAGGTAAGTTCACATTCGTTTCAACTCAAACATAATAAATAGCAACACGAATGAAGGTTATAAACACACTCAAATGCATTTTATTAAAACAAACTTTACAATTTTAATTTTCTTTGTCGAAACTCTTATAATTTATTTACCTTTTGGAATAAACACATTAAGGTAATCTGATTCTCAGGCTTATAAAATCAGCCGTTAACTAATTGTAAATGCTCACAAAAATATCCCTGAATTTGCTAAGTAATGTATATTTAACCAGAATATTTCTTTCATTTTAATTACTATAGTTTTTCGTATTAGAAAGAGAAAATTATAAAATCTGCAAAATAAATTCAGGAAAAGTGATTGAAAGCATCAACTAGTTGATCAACAAATATATTTTAGGTTAATTAATTATGGGTATCCAAGCATTCCGAGAAATTTGCAGGTTTTAAATACTTATTTGGTATATTTTAGGTCTTCTTTTTCCTTCAATCATTAAATGATACATGTGCATTGTGCAAAAGCCTCTGCTATCATTGCAAAACATCACAGATCACTTCTTATTTCGTATCATGCTAAAAAGCATTGGTATCTTAGGCTAGTCTAGATTCAAGAAAATTCTATTTCTCTAAGACCTATTTAGTTTTGTACTATCATACAGATAGAGTAGAGTACAAATCTTTTTCAAGATTCTTTCTAAGACTTCAAATAATATTGAATCCTTTAAGATGAAGAATTTTTTTAATATTGTCGAATGAAATGTTTTGAAAATTTCATGAAATACATTTATCCTTATGAACATGACTCTTTTTATATGACTCAATTTGTAATTGTATCGGAAAACAATATTCTTGATAAATGAAAAAAAAGATGTGTAACAATAACTGCACCCTATGCATTTATATGTCATCGTGTAAAAATATTAATGATTGTTTTCGATTTCATTAGTGACTGGAAACTGCGTCCGTGGGGACCAGTGTACTGGCTGTTCCGGGGTTCAGTTAGGCAGTGAGAAGTTTTGTTGTGCCAACTGTCACGGGTCAGTGTCCGTCCAAATCAACGCTGGTGGCAATCATTGTTCTTGTCATGCATGAGTTGTATGAGAAATAAATACATAAGTTAACCATTCATGTTGATGAATAAAAATAAAATCTAAATAACACTTTGGAATCACTTTAAAATACCGTAGATTACAATATTTTTTTAAAAGAGGTCAATTGGAGATCCAGGAGGTCGATGGACGATCACATAACTATCATACTAAATGGCAAATTGCGGAATTAATTTTATTACAATCCCAACAATAATAATCTGTAAGGCTTTTCCCAACATTTGTTACATGATACATCAGGATTTTTCGTAGGATTCCGCATTCTGTTTTGTCTAAATTCAAAGATTTGACTCGAACAAAACAGTGTCGGATCAAAAAGGTAAACAAAGACTCTCTAAAGGCGTAGGATGATCGCCAAACGATCTCCTAGATTTCTCAATGATGATTTTTCAGAAATCGTCAAAATATTACAAATATTTAATGTTTTAAATTCTTAACGTGAAACACATACCTGTGGTTTCTATTGCTCTTAATTGTGATCACTTATGGTTGCACCTGATCTCTCAGCAAAGATTGTAGATCGTTCAATAATCTCCAAAGGTTGCAGAGCAATTGCTCCGCTCAGCTTTCAGAGTTTGCTACAGAAACCAGTCTTCATGGATCTCTCTTTGTATTAAATTAAAGTTTGCGCTCTGTCTACAGATGAAATGCGGCAATATCCTCAAATGTTCGTCTCATAATAAGCATGATAAAGACTTTTAGGGGCTGCGTTAAGGGTAACATTTTAAAAAGTGATGGGTTTTTATGAAAAAATAAATTATGAACACTACACAATACTAGCATATGGGGCCTGGTGTGTGCATGTTTTTTTTGTACGCGTGCTGTATAATCTCCTTAGTCCTTTGGTGTCTATCTGTTGTTGTGTAGAGATTTTATTTTCATATTTAGTATAAAAGACTCATGATTGTATTCAGCACCATATGCATTATTACTATTATAGTTACATGTTTATGAATGACCGCCTGTTTTGTATAAATAAATGACATTATTCATTCTCATGATACTAGTGGTTTTTTTTTTCGTCTGCCTTGAACAGAAAAGTCTCAATGTTAGGTTTATGCAAACGAAAGACCATAAATGTGAACAGGCATTACATGACCACTGGAAATTCCAGAGATGGGATCAGGCCTGAAGACTATAAACTGAGAACAGACTTATGTCAAAATGTTGATAGCTTAATTGTCATTTATAATATATAGGTTATAAAAAAAAAATTGCAGTTTTTTTAAAAATAATATTTCAATTTAAGATATAATAAAATTTTGTTTTGTTATCAAAATTTTTTCAAAACTTATATTCATTAGAATTCTTTTTTACTTAAGTCTATTCTCAGTTTATGGTCTTTAGGCAAGGTGTGCTGGAGTAGTAAGCATCCTGCGTTTGTCAAATTCAAAATAAAACATAGGCCTAACAAATGGTATGAAATTGTATTGTCTTTTATCATGTTTATATCAAGTTCACTAGGATATATCGAGTCGATTTATATAATGAAAATAACTACTGTTAATTGATAAAGCGTCATCGATATGTCTTAATGACGAATTGAAGGACACAGAAAGTGGTGAAGATTTTTAAAAAATAAATGTTCTCAGTGATCACAAAGAGATAAGTCAGTTGTTTCTCGGCGATCTCTAGATTGGTAGAGAGCGCGCCCTTTAAGACAAAGCTAAGGCTGTAAGAGACGGTGAAGATTGTAGAAACATCGGATAGCCCAGCGACTGTTGAAAGATCCAAGTAATTATCCAAGGTTCAGGAATCTCTCAGTGTCCAAGTCGGTATAAATCAAAAAGCGATTTACTGATAACTTTACCTCATAATGTATCAAGAATTAAATATATCATTTATGGTTGGGTGAAGGTTGGGATTTAAAATGATGTATAAAATCATATAAAAATGATAATGAAATAACACGATGAAACACGATGTACCATTCAGTCAAAAAAAGTCGCTGAAAGATCTAAATGGCAGTCACCTTCTATTCATCTTTCAGTTTACTGAATGGCAGAATTTAAGCCTGTGAAAATGAATGTGTATTTTTGAAAGCCATATTATTTGCTATACTTTATAAGCACAGAGTTCATAATAAATGTATTGAAAACTAAAATCAAACGGAGCTCGTAGACTTTGATATAATTACATGTAAATGTATTATAATTCCAGCATATAATACTATATGAAACGTGTATATTGAAAAAAAAAAAAAAGATAAATCTTTCAATCAAGATATTCAAAATAAATAAAAATTTACAAAAATACTTAATTTAAAATTATGGATAATATGTTAAATTTATGAAAATAAAGCAAAATAAGACACCATCTTTATTAACAAATGGAGAACGATTTCCAAAAGTAACTGGAAAGAAGAAACGCAGTTTTTGGTCACACGATAGCTTGATATGGAGAACCTACGTTGTTTACAGAAAGACAGAGATAGTACAAGGTTCATGCAGTACTTTTTTTAGGATTTGAGAGATATCTAGAAGGTAAGGAAAATAATTCTTTCATTATAAACCTTAATTCAAAAGAAATTCTGGTATAAAATATAAGGGGTTATTAAATCGTCTGAATCCATGTTGACTAAGTAATTCTCTCATAATATACTGCAGTGTATGAAAATACGAGGAAAGAGTATTGTTTGGATTATTCTATACTTTATCAACAAATCTAAGAGTCATTTGTCTGTCTTACTTTAAATACTGTCTCTTCTAACTGCGACAAGAATAGCCATTAGATTATAAATTAGCAAACCTTTCTCATTTTAGGAAGTATCGAGACTATGTTAAGGTTTCTTTTGATGTCTGTGATAGTTGTGTGTGTTTTATCAGTTCCAAACAGAGGCAAGCGATTCCTTGTAGACTCAGGTAATCATATCAAGCTATATGTCATTTCTAAGTTTGAGAATTTAACATAGTGCTTTATACTACAGAAAATGTTCCTCCGTTTTTAACAGGGATCACGGGAAATTGTCTTCAAGGTCACGAAAACTGTCATCATTGTGGTACTTACACATTGATTAACGGGGTATATTTATGCTGTAAAGAGTGCGATGAAAGTATCATGACGTCACCCTCGGGTTCAGGAGGCGTGACTTGTCACTGTAGCAACCACGACCAACCAAACGCATTCATGAATGGCAACGCTTTTCCGATTCCTGACGGCATATGAATTGTTTTCTCTTTTGATCATAATTAAAAAAAAAATATTTCTTCACAGTGTATAACGAGAAATAAGATAAAAGTAAATGAAAATAAAGTAAAAATGAATAAGTAAATTTTCAATGATGAACTGTTAGTATAAAAGTTTTGAATACAAATGAATAAAATGAAGTAAAGCGATAGTACTAGTGAATATATCATTGGTGGGCTTCAAAAACATTTTATGCAACACAGGTCAGCTTTGCAGACTCAGTACCTTTTGTATTTAGTATACTCTATATAATATTTTTATCTATAATTAATTCTGATATCCGAGCACACCTGCCGTGTGCTCGATATCATAAAAGGGGAAGCAGAAAAACCCACGGTCAATTCAGCGAGTAAAAATGGTCTTACAATTGGTATCAAAAAACATCAGTCAGTATTTGTCAAGTTTATTGAAACTTTAAGATTGTACTTGCTGACAAGGTATCGAGCCAAAGTTAAGATATCAGAAATGATAACTTAGAATGAGTTTGTAGATACCCTTGTGTCATCAACCTGTTTGTCAATAACTTGCTTGCTTTAGATATTGTTCGTACGTAGAGCATGGAGTATCAAATCAGCTGGAAGACATAAACCCCAAATTCAGGTTAGAAGGGTCTGTTTTACAGCATAGGTATGGGATTTTGATAATTACTTAAAGTTTTGTTGTGAAATTAACATTATCATCTTTTTCTAATAAAATTTGCAAATATGAAAAAAAATCTTATTTCATGTTCACTGGGTTATATCGAGTCTACATATGAATTGAATTAAATATTGTTAATTGATACTGATAATACGTCTACAATATAGATCAAACTAAATGTCGAGTTGAGAGCCACAGCAAGGGTTTTTCTTTTCTTTTCATGAAAAGGATAGCTAATGCTTATAATTTTAAACACGTACAATATATGATAAAACTGTCATCTTGAAAAGCAACTTATGATAATAAATGTACAATCATTCTTATCATACATGTATTTTAGATTTTTTGTGGAAAGGTTTCAGTAGCCTTTTTGTTATTATTTGGATCACCTCCAATTTTTCAGAGAACAATCTAAGTACTATGTAATGTAATCAGATACTTTCTCTCTGCTGTATTCTGTTTATTAAGAGATACTTGAACTATGAAACATTCATAAATGTTCTGTAATAACACTGTTGAGCACATTTTCTAGCGATGTAATAAATAAATTAAATGTGTGACCAATGATAACTTTGAAGCATACATATATTTACCAATGCTTGGTTAGCCTGTAGTAATATATAATTGCCAATAACTGTTTCTTATCATTTTCAGTACTGTTTTAAATTTAAAAAATACTGCAAGTTAACATCATTTTTTGTACGAGTGTGAGTCTTATGAAATTTTCCATCCGGAGAAAGTCGACGAACACTCATGCTCCACATACAGGTGGCCATCGCCTGGGTCCTCACTCTGGCTACGGATATATACCTCGTCTCCGGTGTTGGCGTTGACGACAACAATGGCCGTCTCCGTATCTGCATCGCTTGTTTCCTGCGTGTCGCTTAGAGTTCCGCCATAGATTGTTCCCGCCACAACTATTTCCAGACGCACGTACTCCTCGACGTAACTAAAGGCGGTCCAGGTGAAGACGTAGGTTCCAGTTTCCGGCACAGTAAAGATACCAGTAGACGTGTTATACGCATTGCCGTTATTTGTTCCTGTTTTGTCGTAAATTATGGTTTGGTTTGATCCTTGTATTTGAACGGTCGAGGTCATCATTGCATAAAAAGATGGAGGGGCTTCCCCTAAAGTCAGAAATAAAAGCCAATTGAAATCAAAACTCTTCAAATTCTTAATTTTCACTTGTAGGCCTAATTGTACGATCCTGATTAGGGATTGGTTGACAGATCACCCAATACCTGACCAGCTTACATAAAAACGATCAAACGTGGTCGATTTACTGGTGACTTATCTTGATTTTTTTTTTTAAATGCAGCTGGTCAGGCGTTGGTTTATCATAAATAATCATGAATTTAAAATCTTTACAGCTTACAAAATTGTTCCAAAATTGGGTTGGAGGTTGGTCCGTTATACCTGGAATTAATGAACTAATTCAAAGAAGATTTTCTTGATGTTTTGAAATACAGAAAGAAGTTTATTTTGTATGGTCTCGTACAAATAGGCGTTCACAAATTAAAAAATTGGAAACTTTGAGATAAATAATTTCTCCATTTATTCTTTTTAAAGCGAAATATTTTCTATCTTAATAAAACTTACTCTACATTGCTTATCTGGGAGTTTATCTTAAAATTAAGTTCGAATTCGTCTTTGGGGTTTACAAATCGGTCAATGATAAAAAGAGTGAAGTCCGGGTCCCGTTGAGATACAGTTTCCATAAGGACTTGAATACGACTACCTCATCCCATGTTTAACCTTGTTGTCATGTATTTAGATTCTTCTACAGTACTATTCATAACTTTTTACGAAATTTTCTTTTACGAAATTGACTAATGAAACATATGGAGATAACGAACAGTATTCAAGATCAAAGATCCATTAAACAATACAAAATAGGAGCAGAGCAAACACGGACCTTCGAAACATCAGTGCGGGTGGGATCAGGTGTCATCATATATTAGGTGCCACTAACAATTTTAATCACCGGGAATAATATTAATTTTATACACACATAATGAAACATTAGAACCCCTAGGGCAACAAATATGTTTATTACGAATAAAAGTACGAGTTCTAAATAAAAACGTTTGCATCACAAGCTCCCATTGAAGTCTGGACGGGCTGTGCTCTGCTGAACAGATTGATTCAAATTCTTACCAAGTTTAGTGCTGAGACTGTTGACGGTGCTCTGTAAAGACTCCAGTTTTTTGATTTTCTCATCTTGTAGATCAGCTCTTTTCTTGATTGGTTCAAAGTCTTTGAATTTCAATATTTTAAACTCGCCTACCAATCGATGATGATTCTTGCTAAGATCAGAGTACTCCTGTACATGTTTGGTTTTAAATTCTTGAAATGATCCATTTTGTCGATTTAGTTCCTCTTGCAACAGGCTGTTTTTCGATTCCAGAGTGCTAACTTTTCTACTTAATTCATCCAATTTTTGAAATATTTCTTTCACATCCTCACCAATGCTAGAAGCACAAATCACAGAAAAATGTGCAAGAAAAACAAGAATGATGACTTTGATATCAGCCATATGTTTGCTTCAATCGAAGTTCTTAGCTATAAAAGAGTTTCACTCTACGCAGTCCAATATTTAAAGGAAATGTGAAACTTTTTTTTCAAGATTTCCTTGTAGTAAGATGAAGCATAATTTTTATCTAGGAGATGGCTTTTAAGCTTTTCTAGAGCTCTGTAATTGCAAATGAGGTAGCTAGACTTGACAACTTCCTTGTTTTGTTTTTTTATTTCTTACCCAAAGCTTATCTACAGAGCAACTCAAGTAAGGAAAGAATTATAATCTTAAGTTTTACAATGTTACCAAGCCGTTTTAAGAGATATATGAAAAATTAATGAACAAGACAGAGCAACTTTTAGACGTAGATTACTGTACAATAATTTTACATACCGTTAAGCGGGAAATTTTAGCGAGATGCTAATTTGGCTTATTTGAGCGGATTTGAAGCAGTCCCGTAACATTTTTATCGCTAAATTTACACTCTTGTGTGAAAATACTAAACAAAAAGAAGTTTTGAACTTTGATCTGTTTGTTGTTTTACAATGTTTCTTTTTTTCATCTGATCATGTAAGATTTGCTCAAACTCTTGAGTGAATCGGTATCAAACGTAAATTAATCGTACTGAAAACTAATCTGAAAATGAACTAATTCTTTCTTTGACAACGTCATCAAATTGTCTGTCTGCAAAAAAAAAAAAAAAAAAAATTATTGGCATATCTTTGAGGAAGCAAAACGCCAAATTTTTCACCCGCTAAAGAAAACCGAGCTATGTTGTATGCCATGTGCCCTATCTGACACATTTTATATTCAAATAAAATCAAATATTGTCATGTTGTATATTTTATTTCAGAAAAAAATATAAATGACAGAAAGGAAATTTGGTATGCCTACTTTCAATTGTATATGTACGTATATTTATAACTATAAACACACAATGTTTGTTTTTCCTTTGTCCCCGTGATGGCAGAAACTCAAATCTGTATTCGGCTCTTACGGACGTTGAATTCTTTCAGGAAAGGAGATCCGAGTTCAAATCCAAGTCGCATTTTTCTCTTCTCTCATTATCGACCATTGAAGAATCTTTCTCGTGTTAGTTCCTGCTGCAACAGGACCTCCGTTTATACCGTCTCAACTGGCGTATTCATGAATCAACTCCTTACTCCGCGAATATAGCAAACACTCTGACCATAGGCGCCAAGAGGAATATAGATACATGCATGCAGTGCCTTTGTCTTTAGATAAAAGGAATTCTTTTAAAATCATGGTTACAATATGCATTTCTTCTTTATTCATTAAATGGGGTAAACACTATTACAAAGACTATTTTAGATATTTACATGATCACTCGTCGCTAACATGTGGTCAATCTATAAACAAGATAAAAATAGACTTCTTCTAGACAACATTCAACTGCATGAAAATTCTTTAAAATAATAAATACATACAATCTCAAGCTCTTATTTGACTCTTACAAGAAAAGCATTTCAACATTAAGAACACTTGAAGACACTTATAAATCGGGCCAGCCAAGTAAAATCAAAAGATTTCAGAAATCCTCTTTATAACAAAGACGTGAATATTTTTATTTAAGTATATAATTGTGTTTATCCTGTTTTTAGCCTTGTTTTAACAGGTTTCGTCGGACCCTCGGAAGAAAAAGCTCATTAGGAAATCTTCCAGCCGGAGAATGTCGACGTGCACTCAAATTCCACATACAAGCGGCCATCTCCTGGCCCCCGGCTCTGAGTGCGAATAAATACTTCATCTCCGGCCTTAGCATTGGCGACAATGATGGCCGTTTCTGTATCCGCGTCACCTGTTTCCTGTGTGTCGCTTAGAGTTCCGCCATAGATTGTTCCCGCCACAACTATTTCTAGACGCACATACTCCTCGACGTAACTGAAGGCAGTCCAGGTGAAGACGTAGGTTCCAGTTTCCGGCACGGTGAAGATACCAGTAGACGTGTTATACGCATTGCCGTTATTTGTTCCTGTTCTGTCGTAAATTATGGTTTGGTTTGAACCTCGTATTGGTACAGTTGTGGTCAGCAAAGCATAAAAAGATGGAGGGGTCCCTCCTGAAGTAAAAGATGGACACAACATACTATACTTTTCAATTTCATGTTTTGTTCATAATTTGTGATACGGACAAGAGAATTACAAGAAGGAGTTTCGCAAAAGTCAATTTTTTCACATTTCTTAAATGCATGTAAACATGTAGCAATAGGTTTCTTAAAAATTAATGCGAATTACCTGTTTAGCTCAAATTTTGCCATGAGATCGATGAATAATTCGTCAGACTTGTACCCCAGATGATTTACGTGCATATATACATGTACGCGTTGTGGCAACTCACAGTGAAATTTTTTTTCAAAGTGGTTAAAGTTAGGACAAAGTCAACGCACTTTAAAAAAAATTCAAAGTGAGTCAAATTTGGGCCAAATCAACGCACTTTGATTTTTTTTTCAGAGTGTGTTATGAAAATGTCTATGTCTCAAATCCTGAAGTGACGTCATCACCGAAAGGTCGAATAATTATTTATCATATCTAAAGCCAGAATACTGGCAAAGTCTTTTTTCTAAGTGTGTTAATATGGTCGATATAAACGCACTTTGAAAATATAATTTATTTATTCAAAGTGTGTTAACTTAGGCCCAAATTTAACGCACTTTGAAAATTGTTTCTAAGTGCGTAATTTTTCGAAGTGCGTTGTAACAAGCGTATACACATATCAATGTATTCTTACCCGTTTTTTGGTAGACATCACGAAAATCATTCCTAAATGCTTCCAGCTTCCCCTCTAGTTGATTGAGCTTTCTGCCTTGGAGATTCGTACCAGTTTGCAGTGTGTCATTAGTGACTGCTAGCGAGTTCCGGATTTCTTGGACATCTGTGTCTATCTTCTTTCGGAGTTCAGTATCTTTCGTCCTGGTTTCGTTCTGGGTATTCATCAAAAGGACATAGTACTGCTTGACACTCTGCTTCAGATCATTTTGTTTAAAGTTGAGATCGCCATACTTGCCTATCATGTCTCTTTTTAATGCATCGAGAGAAGCATTTTGGTTCTCCAATTCTTTCCGCAACTGTCCGTTTTCAGTCTCCAAATTCTGAATTCTCCGTTGTAGATCATCGAATCTCTTAAATATTTCGTCCGAATCAGAGGCACGATCGACGGTATTTGCAAAAGATACAGAAATTAAGGAGAGGAAAACTGTAACAAAATCGATTTTACGGAACATGATTACTTTCAACAGAGGGTATTATATATGATACTAGAAAATACAAATCTAGTTTTAAACCAGTCTGAAGCATTTGCTTCCGTTTTATTCTGACCTAAGTACTGATTCCTTGGCCACAGTAAGTAGATGCAATCATGTTGTAGAGTTACTAAAGCAAGGCTCGGTTCTACATTATGTTAACTTCCTGTTTAGCAATAAATGCTGATTGTTAAACAGACGTTAAGAGCAATTGCAGCAAATTATTTCGCCATTACTTTCACAACGATTTGTCTACAATTTTTCCGTTTCATCCATCATTACAATGAGTAGACGGCGGGTGTGACATTCCAGAAGGGATGGGTAGTTTTCCATGAAACCTAATTCCACTTCTCGTCTTTTTAAAGGTCCCTGTTTTCTCTGCTTTCTATTTTTATTGGTTTAATTATCAAAATATTGAAGTCATCATCTTTATGATAAATCTTTGTCGTAAGGTTACCAATCGTCATGGGTTTTGTGTCCTTGTGGAAATAGGATGAACAAAAAACCGTGACTTGCATCTTCTCTAGCCAAGGGTTTCTGAAAAAGCATTTCTCCTCATACACCCTTGGCATATAGAGCTTTCAAAATAAGGGATTGTTTTCGTTCACGTGATCTCGAATTTTAACAGGTATGCATGGATTGCGTAATCAGTAGAAATAAATAACGTATCAATCATTAAAGTTTTTAAAGAATAATTATCAAAAAGAGGGTATTGATTTTTCATTTGTGATAAGTATTAAAATCCAATCTTCAATCTAGATTCTTAACCATATTTTGCACATAGCTTAAGATATTGGATGACACCATATCTATTTCATAGAATGACCTGTGATCGTTGTTTATCTGCCTTTTTCATTCAAATTAGTTTAAGAGTCAAATTGAAAATATATCCCTAACGCAGACATCGTCATTTAAGAAAAAGAAAAAATTGCTGATTGGTCGATAGATATCGATCCATTCCAATTACAACTTGAGAAAAAATATACCAATTTTTTCTAACACCGTAGGCCAAGGGATTATGAGATGAATAGCATATCAGAAGCCCTTGAATAGCAAAGATAGTGGCTTGCTACGAAGAAAGTTAATACCTTAAACGACTTTTTCTAATTCTAGTATAACTTTCTAATATAAAGAATTCATGCAAGACTCCAACTATGATTCCTTTTATTTTACCCCCGCTTGAAAAAGGGAGGGTATACTGTAATCGGTATGTCCGTCCGTCCGTCCGTCCGTCTGTACGTCCGTCCGTCTGTCTGTTACGCTTTGGGGTACGCATCTCTTATCCGCAACTCCTCTTATACCACTGAGTGAAATTTAATGAAACTTTCACATAATCTTTATTACATATTGCCATTGTGCACCTCCTATTTTACTTTTTGATCCGACACATATTTTGCGTTTCCCGGCCACAGCAAAACATGGACTTTGCCATTACAACCATATGGGAGGCGGGGTATCATTTAGTGAGCTCATTGCTCACAGTACCTCTAGTTTCAACTGGGATATATCGAGTCGGTAACATATACAATGTATGAACGGAAGTACCTATTGTAAATTGATAATATATGTAGGCCTACCTCTATGTCGAGTTAAAGGCCACTTCTCAGACTTTGCTTTGTGTAAAATGCTGAGGATGAAGGTCCTAAAATAGAGTGTCAGTCACAAAATGTAAAGGGTGGAGCCTCTTGTGTCAATATCAAAACTTCTGACTATTTCATCTTTCATTTAGTTTTAAGACACTTAAGTCTAATTAAATCTGTCATTTTTCATGATTTACTTCAAGAAAGCGTGCGGAACCAAATCCTATCGAGGTTTCTGTTGCAGTTGGCTTCTGTTATATATAACATGCAAAACTTATTAAATCAAAAGTACAGGCTGTATGCCCTTTTTGTTTTAGAAATCGTAAGTTCATTTTTTTTTTACTGAGCTTAATTTTTGTTAGGCCTAATTTTATAATGAGCAATATAATTAATAAAAATGACAATTTACCTGTATTTCTGGGACAGTGATCTGCAACTTCATTGCTTTTTCTCTTTTGGCATACGATATTTTGGAATAAGCTGAGACAACCGATAAATTTACGCGGTTTTGTGACATTTATAATTTTAGGACTTCTGATTGGCGTAGATTTACGATATTTTGAGGCTGGGGTATCAATTCTAAAATGGGGTAAAAAGTATTCCGCGCATTTTTTTGACTTACGAAGTTTTGGAAGCGCAGCGACGATATTTATTGCTCAGAAGAGCAGTTTCTCTCTTTTTTCATCTTATACAGTATTTTATAAATATTTGCATGTAGTTGAGTGTAACATTGAAAATTTTCACCCCAAGAAAACCATTGTCAACCGAGGCGCAGCCGAGGATGACAATGGTTTTCGAGGGGTGAAAATTTCAATGTTACACTCAACTACATGCAATATTTATTATATTATACTGAGTGTTTTATACAAATACATATAACAGTGAACCGTGCGCGCATAAAGTCTGCGCAGTCGCTATTTTTTGGAATATCACCCGTCGTCAAGCAATGTTGACTGTTGCTACGCTGGAGGGCGTGGCTTAATTATTCAGCGGGTAATAGTGTTTTTTAGCAAATGTTTCTCGACCAATCAGATTCAACTAATTTACATGAAAGTATAATATTTCAAAATATTCCAGTTGGCATTGGGTGGATTATTTAACCCGGTCATACCCCTTTCTCCAAACCCGAGTTGTCCCGGCAAAGACTTATCGTAAGAGTTTTCCTTGTACAAGTTAATGCATTAATTTAAAACATTTTTATGATCTGGAAAAAATGGCGTCGTCACAGTTTTTGAGAAAAATGCCGGAATTTTTTATAGCACGTTTTCCATTCTTCAATGCTATTAGCTTACTTCTTTTACTTGCAGAGCGTGCACAAAAGGAAAGGTATGTTAAAAATATATTTTTTATTTTAATTTCTCTTTGCATTGATTAGATTTTTTTTCAGATAACAAAGTTGTATCGAGGAAATTCGGTTTTTAGATAGGTTAACACACAATCTCTACCCAGAGTTATCGTTCCGCTTATACCTCTGTCATCGTCTAAAAAGTAGTGCGGAAGAACGTGTTTTTTTTTTTCAAATGTTGTTTAAAATGGCCTGCGAGAAGATTAAAACCTTTAATTTTTTGGCCGAGGCTATCCGCACGACGGTCGTGCCGATTATATTCGTTATTCGCACGACGGTCGTGCCGATTAGAAATCTTATCCGCACGACAATAAAAAGAGAGATAACTCCTCTAAAATACCCACAACTTATTGTGCACACTGGTAAAACAAATGATAATGAATACAACAAAACTGTGGCAAAAAATTCAAAACTTCGTAATTAAAGCAACAATTTTGCAAAAATTACTATGCTACTATTACTTAGCTGCATAGGTAGAAATAGTCTTTGGACTGACCAATGGTTATATACCACATTATGCACGTATAAGAGATTACATATTTCTTTTTCTTTAAAATAAATATTTTGTTCATGTAATTGTAATTCAAATGTTTTGTAAAATCAATAAATAAATCAATTTTCCAATTATATTCATCACTATGTTGCATATGTCCTAAACATTAATTCAATGACATTCATAATTATTACTATACCTCTGATTTGGTTGAAGCCCAAGTCCTTTCACTTTTTTCTTCTTGTTCTTCGGCCCGTGCTTACATTCATATTTTACAAATCTGAATCGAAATTTTTCATCATAAGGTCTTTTCACTTTTAGATTCTCGCTTTTTGTTGATTTGCTGTCTGTGATGGTGTATTGAACATTTTCTCTTTCGCAGTAGGCTTCTAAAGCTTTTTCAAAATCTTCATAAGTATCGAATGTGTCGCCTACATCCATCCCTTCCTCCATTTTTGCGCTATCTCATTTTATCCTCCGATCTCTCTGGCCAACTTCGGCCGATTCTTACCTTGGGGCGGGCCATTGATCACCCGGGGGAATTTTAAAAACGAGAATTGACGTGCAGTATCAAAAGCTATGACAAACCAGTACTCGAAAGATTTGAAGAATAATAATAATTCTAGTTCTGCTGATAAACAAAAGTGTATTACGGTTCTAATCTAAGTCAATTGACGTTTTAAACATTTCTCTTAATAAATGAAAAATTCCCCATGCTGCAGCAATAATAATAACATTGAAATATGGGGATTTTTTTTTTACTTTACGATATAAGAAAGGTTAAAAAGGTCCAGTGGTTGTATATTATATTTATCACAAAGAAATATCTTTCCCATAAATAAGTAAAGAAAGAGCGTGATATTGTGACAAAATATTTAATCAACATATTATGTAGAAATAACTCTTTTACTTTTTAAAAGGATTGTCTCAAAAATAACTCGAACTCTTAAAACATTTTGACTTCATTAATAGTCTTAAAGCGAAACCGTTCATATGTACGTGTTAAATAACAAAAAACAACAAACATGTAGCACAATTTGTATAATAGCTGCAGATCTGGTCTGAAAAGGAAATGGGATGGATGACCCCAGAGGTACAGTGCCACACACTAATATATGACCCCTTGATTTTTTTTTTTATTTTACAATTTATATTTATTACACTGTCTTTTCATGTTTTCAATGCGAAAAATTTAGTTAAAAGACTGAAGATAACCGTTCCATACAAAAAATACTCCTCTATACATAATATTAGAGGGGTATTCGTTTGTGAACGTGGGTGTACCCAGAATTTTTTTTTTTTTTTACTTACCTGAAGAAGTTGACAAGCAAAAAAAAAAGATAGAAAATCCTATTACATGGGGGGGGGGGGGGGGGTTAAAGCCAAATTTTTTTAATGCCCTATTATTTTTATGATGACTTGCCATTTCACGCCATTTAACTGCCATTTTTAAAGCAAAACAGCGTGCACAATAAGTCATCACAATATTTTAGAGGAGTTATCTCTCTTTTTATTGTCGTGCGGATAAGATTTCTAATCGGCACGACCGTCGTGCGAATAACGAATATAATCAGCACGACCGTCGTGCGAATAACGAATATAATCGGCACGACCGTCGTGCGGATAGACACTTCCTAATTTTTTTTTAATATGTGTCAATGCTGCAAGTTGTTTGTCTATAACCGGTCAAGGAAAAATCACTATATTTAGCTATATAGCTTAATTTACCTATATAGCTTTTTTACCTACATAATATAGCTTTATTTAGCTATCTTAGAATAAATTTCTGTTTTATGAAAAGCAGACAAAAAGTTGCTCTGATTTTTTTTAAAGGTTTGATAAAAACAAGCTAGTGCATAGATAGTAAAAACATTGCCTCTTTTAAACACTTTTAACCGAAACAGGCATCTCTATTGTTTGGATAGCTGTCCTTCACTGGAAGTGCGATGAGGCATGACTAAGTAGGATTGCCTTGCATTGTGCTGAATTATTACCAATCAATTACCTTGTTGACCGAAACTGCTTTTCTTTGTTAAAGTAGCTGCTCATCACAGACTAAGTCTGTTATACATACCCCCAAAACTTTTAGATCTTTGATTGCAATTGCACAAAAGGAGAAACAATTTTAAAAGTGGGTTTTTGGTGAATTGTTTTCAGTCCATTTCAGAGTTGAAAACTAATACTGCCTCATTATGCGACTTTCTGTCTGATTTTCATAAAACAGAAATTACTCTGAAATAGCTAAATAAAGCTGTATTATATAGGTAAATAAAGCTATATAGGTAGATTTAGCTATTTAGCTAAATATAGTGATTTTCCTGGACCTGTATAAAAACTAAACCATGTTGATATTAATCAGCAAAGCGTTTTAAATTTTCCACGTACGTAAAATCCGGCAGAGAAACAATCCCTTGTAAGATATATGGTGAAAAAGCGATATCTGATTTTAATTTTCATAAATAAACCTTCATTTAAGACACAGGGACTTGAGACAATCTTGGAAAAATCGGGTATTTAGAATAATAGGGGAGAAGGGACCTAACGAGCCGCCATTAATTCCTCCGTGCCTAGCTTCAAACTCTAAAAACTTCGATTTTTATTCAAAAAATACAAGAAAAAGTTTGCCAGTTGAAACGCAGAATGTTGTCCTTTATTGTCATAAATAAATCATTTACCTTACTTTATTAAATCTTTTAAAAAATGTACTGGTCGCCGTCGTTAACCCTGAATATGTTCTCAGGATTTAATAGCCATTCTCTGTAACCACTTGAACTTCGTTGCCACGCATGGTCACCGATTTTGATGAAACTTCACCCATGCATAGTACTTGTCACTAGAAACAAATATCAAACAAAATTTCGTTGCTAAGTGTCTCGGTTGCTATGGCAACAGCCGGAAAAGTTTGAAAAATTGAGATTTTCAGCCATTTTAAATCTTGACTGTGGCTTAATAAAAACTAGAAAAAGCAAACAAACCATTCTCACAAAAACATGTCACCTTGATTTCACTTATACTGTAAAGAAACTGTTTAGAATATATAAGTAAGTGGTAACCAAGGGTACATTTGGAATACATTTAAAATGCTGAAATATGCTGAAAAACACTCCGTATTCACTAATGGTAGGTGTTACATGCTCAAACTCAATCAACGACTTAAGAAAAACAATGAAAATGTTTGACCTTAAGTATATAAGTGTAAGCAATATCATTCTATAAATAACTTTTATGGTTGCCATGGTAACACAGTGTAACCATGCAAAACCAGTAACTAAGATTGGGTTAATGCTACTTTCTTGAGGAAAAACATCAAAATTCAAGACTGGCAAATATGCATCCTTAGGACCTTGCATCACCAAATACATGAGAAAAATTGGGTGTAATTGCTACTTTGCAGTGTTACCATGGAAACAAAGTACCAGTGCTTAAAAGTGAATTATTTTTCGCTGCATTAAGAATTAAATTGCCATATAATCAAGAAACAAATTAAAGGACTCAGCTTGAATAGTACTTATCTGTTAGAATTGAAGTTGAATATCATATATTGATAAAATTTGATGAAGAATACAACACTGTTGCTATGGTTACCAAGAAGGGAAAATGTTCGATTTTGTGAACTTTATATCAATATTAAACCCTGTGTGCCAACTTCTTGCATCCACTTAGTGATTGGATGATAGTCAAAATTAAAAGTCAGGTTATCTGTTAATAAATATCAATCATAAAAGTTTTGGGAATCTACATTTAAGGGTACGTATCCAAGGAAAGAAAATATTTTTCAGGTTTTTAAGCATATATTTTCTGCTTATTTCCATAGCAACGCTCTATTTAAAGAATCTAATCTGAATTTTTTCAAATGGGAAAACTAGGAGCACAAAATTGATCATTAGTTATGGGGAAATCTGCTTTTTTAAAAGATAGGATCAGATTTGAAAATACAGAGTGTTACTTTGAAGGCTCTCTTTGGAATAAAAACCTTGGCAACCATTGCCAACCAATATGAAATATCATATTTTGTTCTTGGTATATGTTTCAAAGCTCTTTTTTCTATTATTTGGTCACATTTCATCCTATAATTGCTTTTTCTTTTCACGTGTATGAATTTATAAAATTCAATGAATTTTTTTTTTACTTTTGAATACTTTGTTACCATAGTAACGTATGTAATAGTTGATTTACCAAACATGTTTATCATGCATTTGAGACATCTGACCTTCAACTTTTTGGAAACAGTCATTGCCAATTGTTTGTTTTGCCGCAAATGTTAACTATGGGGCTCTAAACATGTTAAGATATGCCATTTTTCGAACTTTAAGACATGTTGTCATGGTAACTATAAAGCATAGCAACCAATTTTTGCCTGATTTCAGTTTAGGGTATCAATGACTTTTATCATAGAGAGTTTGGAGAAATTCTGAGACTATGCGTGCCACAGCTCCTATATAAAATTTCAAATCATTACAGAGAATGGCTCTTAATGTGTGTGAATCAATGCAGGATATTAAATACTCATACATGTATAAAATAGGGAATCAAGTGTTATTTAATATAACTTTTGCTGTTTTAGCTCTCTTAGTCTTTTTCGGGGGTAAACAAGAGTAAATGTTTATAGCTGTATATTCACCATACATATATATTATCGGGATGCATATCTGAAAAAAACCAAGGGAATTACATTCAAGCAGTTTTAGAAGAAGAACTTCTTCAATTTTTTTGTACAACATTGATGAATGAATAAAATTATCATAACCTAAGAAATAAAACTTGAATGTCTCTAAAGTTTGAAGGAAAATCTGTCACAATAAGGTCGTCTAATTAAGATGTTAGTGTAGCGAGTATGTGAGCAGATCTAACATGTAATTTTAATCAGATTGTCTTTAAAAAAAAAGTTTGATTGCCCTCTCAGGACTCAGGATAAAATTATTTGGGAGGTGGGTTGGAAAATCTTTTTTTTTTTTTTCCAGAAAATTTCTACATATTTGTTGACAGGATAAGAGGAATAAAAAAGAAAAAAAAATATTGTCTCCTGGTTTAAAAAAGTTTTTAGTTTTGACCATTGTTCGTCAGTCTGTCAGGAAAGGACAACCAAACAACCTTATAAAGATGGCCTAAGTAATTACAGTTTTAAAAAAATTATTTCTTTTTACAGCTACCCACCAATTCCTCCCAAAGTGATCTACACACACATTGGTATATTTGTGGCCTGTGGATTTCTGCTGTCCTTCAGATACAAATGTAAGGAAGTGTCCCTGGTCTATTGTGGACAAATACTTTACCTTGTGTACACTATGTTTACAAACCCACAGGTTGGCTACACCCAGTGGCAGAAGGTGAGTCAAAGATAATTTCTTTTTCTATGTTCATGTATGTAGATGAGTTACAGTTGTCTTCCTTTATGTTTTTGTATGTTCCTGTTTGTAGAACAGTTAGAGTTGTCTTTCTTTGTTTAATACCCCAGTTAAAAATATGTTATCTCAGGGGAGTAGTAAATATAATTTTCCATTAAATGATTCAGTAAAAATCAATGATTATCATTTAGAATTTCTCATACATTGTATTTTGGTATTTTTGATGACTTTTTAAAAGCCCAGCTCTTTCCCCTTTGAAGGTTTGATTTTAAGATGTGACTTGCCACATACATCATACAAATCATACCATGTAAATAGAAAAATCATAAGTTAGATATGAGGTCAGATGGAATAGAGGCATGTTCTTTTCTTTCTGGCAAGTCAGATGGTTTTAACCTATCATAAGCATGATACTGTAGATTCGTTATTTTTCGCAAGTACTTATTATCAGTAATGGGCTCTTCAACGTCAAATCGCGAGAGTAATAATTTGCAAATGGACGGTTGGTCAAGAGATTTTACATAGATTTCAGCTCCAGTAAAATAAAGGCGAGTAATTTTATTTCGCGTATGGTGCTTCTTGCGAAATTACGCGATAATTAATTCCATGTGTATATCTAGGAATCTACAGTAAGCAAGGTCAGAAAGGCTGATCTGAATTAGGTACAATTAACCAGTGTTTTTTTTTGTTGGTTGCTCCAGATTAATGTTATATATTTAAGCTTAATGGCAACTCTAATGGGAATATTCATTATATTCATGTACTTGAATTAATAATTGCAGAAAGTAAAACTGAACAGACCTATTGGTTAACAAATTATACATACAGTTTTGTCTGAAAAAAAAATGAAACCTATTTTTAGCTCCCATGACCAATACCGTACTTATGGAATAATATTTACAGTACCATAATCTAGCCAAGGTTTTGCCCATGTCCTCTTGTATTCAAATGATATGTAGCTGCATTCATTAGGAAACAGAAAGGGGGTTTGTAATTGCTGTTTTCCATTATTAAATTGAAAACAATAAGAAAATAAATGAACTACATATATATATGACAAATCATACAATGTAAATGAAACACTGGAGTCAGATGTGAAATCATATCAATCTTACAAGTCAGTCCCTGTAAATAGGCCTGAAGTTTCTGAATGAGGTACAAATCTGGTTTAATCTGTGCTCTTACCAGAGGGCCATCGGGCGTCCCCAATTTATGAACAAGATATTTTAAAATTAATTATCTCCAACAGCAATTATGACATTAATTGCACATTACTTTAAGAGCTCAAGTGAGCTTTTCTGATCAAAAGTTGTATCCATCTCTCTGTTGTTTGTCCTGTGTTGTCTGTAAACTTTTTTTTTACATTTTCAACTTCCTCTCAAGAATCACTGGGTCAATTTCAACCAAACTTGTCACATAGAATCCTTGTGTGAAAAAGATTCAAGCTTGTTTAAAAGAAGGGTCATGTGCATCAAAAGTGGCTAAATCAGTGCATTGTTTGAAAAAAATTCAATAATTGTTTTATTATTTATTCAATGAGTAAATGACGATCTATATAAAAGTTTTTTGGACCACACTTGACATTCAGTCCTGTGTAATCAATGAACACACAGGACAGGACCACATTTAAGCAGGCCTAGTGTAAAAAAGTGAAACACCTTGAAATGCAGAACCAAGGAAATTTTCTGAAAGTAGAACAGAGCTATAGGTCATGAGCCAAAGTATGAACCAAGATGTGTCTTATTCAGTTCACACTGTAGATTCCTTATTTTTTGCAAATACTTTTTATCACATACTGGCTCTTTAACATCAAATTGCGAGAATAATAATCCAAGTTGATCAATAGAATTTAAATGGATTTCAGCACCCTAAAAATAAAAGCGAGTAATATTATTTTGCGAGTGAGGCTTCTCGCGAAATTAATACCTTGCATATTATTAGGAATCTACAGTACTTTGGCTCATGACCTATCTGTTCTACTTTCAGAAAGTGGGGAAGGGGGGGGGAGCAACTATTCTTTGTCAAGTTTTGGATCTCAGGGAATCAGAGAGCTAGGAATTAATTCAATTGTTTTAACTCAAAAGATTTATGTTTTTTATATATAATAATTGATGTTTTTATTTATATTTATTCAGATCAGAATAGCCTCTCGTCACATTGGCTGTGTGGGTATATTCCTCCTATTTTCATCCCTCTTTGAAAACTTACCATCTAAACAACTACAGAAGCTGGGAGAGACAGTTGTTGGGATATTCCTCATGGCTTATGTGTACATCCTCAACAACAGTGCTGAGGATAGACGGGCCTTCCTCTCACATATTCCTGGGGGGGACTGGACTAGGTATTTTTTCACACTGGTCCTGGCCGCTGGTGCCATTAGTTTTTTCTCTGGCCATTTCCTGAGAGACATGTCTATAACGGTGATTGGTGTGTTTGGAATTTTAACAATCTTCGTGGACTGTGACATTAATTTTTGGGTGGAGACTAAGGGAATGTTATTCTGGAATCAAGTGAGACTTATCATAGACGATTTGTGTATTTTACTCGGGTTTGCTATGATAGTGGTGCGAGTGGACAATCGAATTAAAATGGATTAATTTTCACTAGTGTAGTTAGAGTTTAACTATAATAATTATGTTTTTATTGGTTTTAATTTTAAAAAAATCCCAGGATTGAAGTAATATTTCTTTGAAATACCTGTACTTAATTATGTGTCTTTGCCGATGTGCCAATTATATTGTTCCTCCTTACTGGAATAACTAACTGTTGTAGAATATACTTTAACAAATTAATGTCAGATGATACTTTTTGAACTGATATTGAGTTTTACAAAAACAGTTAAATAAGTTTTGTTACTAAATTTAAAAGGTAGAAAATTTAAAAATTCAGTGCTGTTTGGTTAACAATATTAATTTCTTACTGATGAAACACTATCAGTAAATGCAGTGTTGATTACTAAATATTTTACATGTATTCATTAAGCATTCTAAGAGATTGAGAAAGATATGGAAAATTATTCTTTACACTAATTCAAATATTTGTACTTTCATATAGACTGCACTGAAAATTTCAAGATTTTTTTCCTTTTAGTTTGTTGCTCTTTATTTTTGATAATTATATTTGTAAGAAAAAATGTGTACCTCGGAAAATACTCTGATAAAAGAGACATTGACTTGATTGCATGAACATGATGAAAAATGACAGAGTGAACCTTTTCCATTAATCAACTCATTTTCAAAGACATAGAGTTTTATCAGGCATGGAATGTATGTTACAAGGAATTAGATGGGTGTGTTTTTATTTTTTGAGAAAATCTGTGTCATATTTAACTCTTATCTGTAATTAATGTTTGAACAAATTGTGCGATGTGAATTTTGATGGCTCTTGTGTGGTTTATTATGAACTCATATATTAAGATGGTTGACAGGAATGAATACCCTGATTAATAAATTAATTTGTATGAATTTTCATGAGTTTTTAAAAAATACAATTTTGGAGGCCCATAAAAACATTGAAATAAAAATATAAAAAAATTAAAAGTTAAAAAAAGAATATCAAAATGGGAGAGCTAAGTAATCTTCATTGACTCTTACCATTCCCCCACATTGACATAAATGCATAATCTACTTATTTAGGAATTTTTTAGGCCTATATGAACTAAATTTGATGATTTTTAAATGAAATAGTTTTTGAGCAATCCAAAATACATTTATGTATTTTACAGCATACTTAATATAACATAAATATGTGTTTTAAAGTGTTTTCACAATTATTGAAATTTTTCTTCTTTTTTTTCAAACGAATTCTCTGTCAGATCATGTAGGAATAGCTTTCTTCTTATACCTATACATATACAGGTAAATAGTCATGAATTTTACACTTAACGCAGTACTGAATTTAATATTGATTAAGAAAAAAAATTTTCACTAATGTTTCACATGTTTAATAGAATCAATATCCTTGATTCATGAGCTGAGAGATGCTTAGAGAACTAATTCTTAACCATTCTCCAGAACAGAGTACTAACTTGTTAGTAACATCCTTTCTGTAACATTATTGCAGAAGAATCTCCTATTAATCTTTCGATCTGAACAAAGTCAACTAACTGATCATCGACTCAAGCCCAGAAAGTCAACTACTGGTATATGTACAAAGATTAATAAAAGCTAAAAAAAAAAAAAAAAAAAAAAAAAATCAACCACTGAACATAAATAAAAAGTTTCGAAAGTCAACTAAAAGTTTAGAAAATTCAAATATTTGAATAAAGACTAATAAAAGTTTAGAAAGTCAATTATCTGAACACAGAAACTCAAGTTACTGAATAAAACTAACTAAAGCTTAGAAAGCCAACTATCTGAACACAGACTAATTTTAGTTTAGAAAGTCGTCTAACTGAACAAAGACGAATAGAGGCTTAGAAAGCCAACTATCTGAACAAAAACTAACCAAAGTGTAAAAAATTCAACTATCTGCACACAAACTTTTTTAAGCTTTAAAATTTGAAGAATGTGAGTTTCTCTACCACAGACCTCTTTCAGCTTCATGTGGCTTCCTTGCTATACTTTTTAAAGTACCACAGAGAGTTGATTCGAGAATCACGTACATTGACTAACATATTTTTATAATCAAATCAAGTCTGTTCAATTACGCAATATTTCTTGTCCTTTTTTGTTTTTTTTCTATTCTCGTTTGTTAATGTAGATTTTTGTACCAAGTTTAATGGGTGTGTGTCAGAATAATGTTGAAAATTATGCCATTGCATGTTAACTAATTCTTTTGACAACATATAAAATGTGAAACACTGACAACTTTTATGTTGTTTTTATCTGCTACCCAATATAAAAGTTGATGAATTCCTGAAGTGTGTTGATTAAATTTGAACATGATTCTTGACGAGTTTGTCAAAGATAATGCCAACATGCTTTAAAAGGGATTTTTTAGATCCTGCTAGAATATGTAAATAACGTGTCAACCATATTGAAAGAGAGAGATGCAGTAATATGACATTTATTTTTGAAAAACATGTGTAAAAATGTAACAGTGCACAAATTAAAGGCCACATGCATTGCTTTAATATGACAGTGATTAATTTATACAAAAGTAGGGTCGCTTATGTCATATTCATTAGAGTATTTTGTGCTGAGAGTGAAGAAAACACTACTGGGTATTCCATTCGTGCAATGTAAAAATAAATCAAACTGTCACTTCTAGGTTACCAAGTAAAACAAAACTTGGTCAGAAAAACCAGTCAAGAACCAGTAGTGTAAATTAATTAAAATCCCTTTGGCCTACGGACATGTGGGAATTTCTGCAAATAGATTTTCTTTGAATTATTTGAAAGAAACAAAATTTGAAAAAAGACGATTGTGCCGTCACAGTTTATCATATATTTGTCATACTCGGATTATAAATCTCCATCTATCATTGGATTCTTTATTCTTTCTTGAGAGTAAAATATATTGTTGCTTTAGAATTAGAGAGCATTGAATTAATTAGCTTTGTGACAAGGGATTTTATTCCCCGTTCATTTTTTAAATTGTTAAACAACTTTAAAAGAATAATTTAAAGACATACTCACACAAATCCCTGATATTCTACAGTCTAGTTTCCCCAAAATATTCAGTTCAATTTGATCAAACGTTAACTATTTGAAAAAATAATATACTAAGTAATGTTTCCATTTCTAATTTTTTTCTCTGTGATAAATCTTTGAAAGTTAGTAGAATTGATTTTTGATAATTCTACCGGAATGTAAATTAGGTAAGTAGTTAGGTCAGGAGCTAAGGGGGCCTAATATGCATGCAAATCTCGTGCGCATGTCTCTGTGTCTGACGCCAAGGAGGCCAATATGCATGTAAATCTCGTGCGGCTGCCTTTGTTGCTGACAACAGTGGGCAAGGACGATTTAAATTGGCATGGGAGTCCTCGTGTAAATCAAATCTATGTCTACATTTTTAAAGTCTAAATCTACAATTTTTTTTCACAATGAAATGGAAATATAAGGAGTCACGGTCTAGTTAGTATAGTATGCCAGGGACATCAACGATAGTGGGAAACATGGGATAATTTATTCATAACGGGCTTCGCCTGTTATGCAAATTATCCAATGTTTCCCACTATCGTTGATCAGGTCGAGACCACTAGATTTTCTGACGTCAGCATAAATTTGCATGTAAGTTAGCTATCTGTTTACTTTACCCACTGATGAATGGGTCGCAATGCATTGTGGGCTACTACAAGTACTAAGTTGTGTTGTAAATATAGGCCAACTTTAATTGTCCCTTGGAAACTTATTTTCAATTCTTTTTTTAGATTTATGGAAAAATATTTAAAATGATGTATAATCTTTCATTTCTATGCTCATATTTACAAAATTTGCTTTATGAAGCATTATATCAACCTTTTAATACATCGGCCTAAACCATTGTTCGAAGAGACGTACAGTACGTGCTATCGTGTCGATAAAGCATTGAGGTTTTTTTCACGTGATATACGTGTACATAGTTTTAGACAGCAGTACAAGGTGCCCTATTATTATTTAACCCCTAATGTTATCAAAAAGTTTTTAATGTACATGCAAACTTTAACATCAAAGCGTTTGCACATTAATCGAACCTTCGAAGCAACTATATTAATCATCTAAAACAACTCCAATATTAAATGTGAGCATGGAGCAATGTCTTGGGAATGTAATCTTTTAATTTCGGACTTAAAAAGTGATAAAGAAGCTCTACGGTTTTTCCGTTGACGAAGTGAATATTATGCAGAAACCGACGAAAACCACGTGTCGCCATTGAATCGAAAACACGTAGTAGTGTCATGCTTTGGGACTCATTCACTTGATTAGCAACGGGTGTGACGAAGATATCGTCACGTGTTGAAAATTGGCTTCCATATAAGGTAGTGGTGTCGACCTGTTTAAGGACCCTTATAATTGCTTCATATTAAAACGCCTGTAAATGCATGTACACGTATATTGCTTCAAGGCAAAAAAAAAGAAAAGAAAATAATGTGAGATTTCATAGATTATTTAATATAAAATATGAGACAAAAACAACTTTTTCACAGCATGAGCACAGATTGTACACAACCATAACTTCATAATTCAATGTTAACTTAATGCTATTGTGACTGTAAAGAACTCACACGATGAACACAATGGTCAACGCTTTTTTATTGTGTAATATACACTTATAGGAATCGGATATTATCACTTTTTAATTCTGCCTTGTTATATCCCTGATTTATAACGATCAAATAATGATATTAATATGGAGGATGTTTTATATACAAGTGTGCTAGTTGATACACGTATGAGGTATATGTACACAGAAAATACAGTATAAAAGATGCACAGGAAACACAGCTGCGTCTTAGAGCATATATATAAAAACAAAACAAATCAGATTGTGGCGTGCGTGTTCGAAAAGGTATTTTCAAAGTGAAGGATTTCTTATGTCATTTTAAAAATAGGAATCCAGAGGCACTTTGACTGAAATAATCTCGTGATATATTTTTCAACGTGTCTTATCATACTAATACTTTGTATATAGTTTGTTCTCCTTTAAAACCTGGATTTCTAAGCATGTAAAGGACGAAGAGCCTATCAAGAATACTTCATCGCTTTTTCTGGTTTGCATAGGTAGATTTCCAACTGAAACAGATGAAAGATAAATTAACTTCATAAACTACAACACGAACATTCACGTGGAATACATATACATGTACTATATTGAAGCATGTTATATAATTTTATTCATGAATTTGTTTCACCGTAAATTGTTCTCTACTTGAATTTTCTAAAGTTTTTTTTTTTACCTTAATTTTTTTTTTAACCATTTCTTTTTGATGAAACTTCAGGAAATATTCCCTGTAAACCCAATGGACCCCTTTTTATAGTCTAATCTTGTATTTGATTTGTAGATCAGTTATTTATAATTAATACAGTGGTTTATTTATAATTATTGCAGACATCAGTTATTTGCGAGATTTAGTTTTTTATCGATTTCATGGTTGATTGGTGAATCGGAAAAAGTACGTCTGAATTGTTCTACTTGATTGACAATGGTGTCAAATATCATACATATCTTTTCTACGATGCGTCCATAAAATCACCATCTACTGAGATCCCCCAAATAAATAAATGTAATATGTGTGTCAGAATAACAAACCAAAAATAGGCCGTGACAAAGCGAAGAAAAACTCTCTAAATGGACAATCATTGGGTCCACTATATCGGGAATATTTACACATATACTTACCATAGATAGGTAACCTCGAAAGTTTCTATGACCAGGTCCAAAACCGACCTGAAGAGCACATTGTCTTGACTCTACATCGCCTGAAATATTTATATTAAAATTCATTGGTTTATTCAAGTACTTGTCCTTACTTTGAATTTCATTTGAAATTAAGATTTGAAATGAAATTGATTAATAAATGGTATGTATATGCACCTAGTGAACTCTTTGAGGCGTATGCTCCATTTAATACACCTTCAAGTTTTCCATCAGACACAATATATTCGACATCTTTCCACTCCGAAAGCTAGAAATTAGTAAGAAAAGAACATTCATTTATGCCCATAAAATTAGTAAATGATCTCGGTAAATGTAGGTACGTGTATCATGTTGTATATTTTGCATTTACCTCAAAATTTACAACACGATGACTTTTCCCCCTGGTAAATTCAAAATTTACAACATGATAGATGTATTGCACCAGGCTCTGTATAATTAGATAAACTTACTGGTTTGTGAAGTTGCAATGCCACGTGACCGGGTTGTCGTGTTGTTTTCACCGTATATCCAACGAAATTGCGTTTTGTAAAAACTTGAATGGATCCAACATCGCCGCAATCTCCGTTGTTAATTAATGCTTGTGAGTCATTAAACCCTAATTTTTCAAGTTCCTTGTAACGTAGACGTATTACTAAGGTTTTGCCGAAGTCAACATTTGTGAACCTAGGAATGAGCAATCGACTTTTCCCATTGAAGAATCCCATTCCATCTTGAACTCCTACATTTTCATTACTAATATAAGTCCATTTTCCGGATGCATCTGTGACACCATTATTGAAGTTTAATTTCACCTCAGGTGTACAGCCTGTAAAATAAATATTTTTAAAAATACTTTTTAAGAATAAATATACTTAATATATCATTATTTTAATTCTTCAAATGTACTTTACTAATTCTTCAAAACACTCTTAACAAATATATGCTTCAACTGCATATTTCTTAGAAACTTACCAGCAACCGGTTTCTGGACGTCAGGCGCTTTAAATGTAGGGTAACCGGGTTCTATTACTGAGCATGTGCACTTTCTTTCGTTATATTGCGTCCCCTCTGGACAAGGCATTGTGACGTATCCGATTCCCATCATTAGCTGCTTGTAATTGTTTCTATCGTTAGCGATTGGAATTTTGTCACAAGCTGGCCTTGTAGGTGCTAAAAGACATAGTTACGATTATTTCAGTTTGTGTGAAATTTGATTCGAAACACTATTTGAATAAACAAAGTTATAACACCAAAAATATATTATGTTCAGCAGTTAAACGACTTTCTACGTGCATGTGCTTACTGTTATAAGAGTTCAATTCCACAGGTGAATTTAATGGGCAGCTTTTACGACAGGTCTGATCAACATCCCTGACACATCCTTTGCCTTTCACATATTGAAATCCAAATCGGCAACATCTTCCAATGGAATAGCCATTCGAACACTCCCAGAATGCGCGACAGTTTTCTTTTTCTTCGTACTCCTGCTCTCGTACCTTGCTGCAGCGATCTGTTTAACAGTACATAATTTTAAAATAATTTCAATGGTCATCGAAGATATGATAGAATTTCTATCCTCTTTCTTTTGAGGGGAAATGACTTACCCACAGGACAATAGGATCTTTGTGAATACTGACAAGATAGAATAGTCTGATTCCAAAATTGACCAAATGGACACCGTTGTATCATTGCTCTGAGACGCCCAATTTCTCCATAATAACAATGGACAAACAAGTTACATTTATTAGGATGACTGTTGAATCCAGCACCATTGATCATTTTACAACCTTCACAGAGTACTGAAAGATAAAAAATAAGATTTATATTTCAAGATTCACGAAGAGACACATTCGTTATAATTGCAAGATCCCTAAAACTGTTATCTTACTTTTTGCTTCCCTAGGAGTCGGTTCTGAATTCACGTCTGTAGTCAGTTTAGTGATTATATTGCCTCTTGGCGTTACAGTCTGATGAGGTGGGGCTAGGGTTGGTGGTAGAAGATAGTTATCGTCCACGTTACAAAACAGCTGGACATACCCAGTCATCAGATAGACAAGGTGAACGTAATTCTTCACACGAATAATCTCGTTTTCTTTAGAGGATATGAGTTTTAATTCTTCTTCATTTGTATTGTATCCAACACCCACGGTAAATACGGAGATTCCTCTTCTATGAAGACGTGCTGCTTCCATTTGGGTGTAAAAGTCGTATCGGGATTTATCATTGACAATCACGATTATTACTTTAGAGACGCCCTTCCTGCCCTGTGTCTCAACAAGTTCCCCAGCTGATTTCAACGCTATAAAAGACATACATGTATAAGTAGAAAGTGTCAATTGAGTTATTCAGATGCATTTACTATTTCCACGCTCTTACAATTTACTCCAATTTTAACTAGTTAATTTGGAGAAGAATGGTCCCCGCTCTCAGGATCATATTAGCTGAACTAATGATCGTTGACTCATTTGAACTGTATTTTGTGTCCATCTTACGATTATTTTTTGTATGAATTTTTAATAGTTTGCAAAATTTCAAAGCCAAGTTAAAACTTCAAGGCCAAGGTCATACGTTAACTTGGAAGGGTCACAGGAAATGCAAATGTGAAACATGTGAGTCCTGTATTATTCAAAAAATTATAACAAGGGTTAATGGACAGGGAGACAGACGAATAAAATATGTTTTCAAGCTTTCAGCAAAAAGGATGGGGTAAAATTACAAGAAACCACGGTCCTCTTTTTAACATGCGTACCAATATCATATCTGTTGCTGTCTTCAGGTAAACCTAATCGAGCAATCCTGTCCTCCAGGTCCGAACGATCCCCACTGACAGGTATCTGTAGAGCGTCGTTATTACCTAGCAACACCACGCCCACCTGTACCTTGTTCTCCCCCATGATAAGCCGGTCCAGGAGTTGTACTAGAGCTCCTTTCAAATACCCGAAGTCCTTTTCGTTGCCTGTACCATCTATTGCCAGCACGATGTCAAATTTCCTGTCACAGACTGTCAATGAAACAAATCAGTTTGTTTTTAAATTCATTGTTAATAAAAAAAAGTATGAATAATTACATGCACCAAACTTCAATGGCTGCTTAATTAATTCTTTTGAGAGAAAATGTATGAGGAATTGCTTTTAAAGTGACATTTTAATATTTTTATATGTAACTGAACTCTTTGATTGACTTGAGAGCTCGGCACACAGCATAAAAATGTATTCTAATCAATCACCTTTAACACTTCAAGTTAAAAAAAAATATACGGCACTTTTTTGATATAAAAAGCGTTTGTTTAATATATTACTAGAAGGTATATGATCAAGATATTTGCATGTTCAAACGGAGAAACGAAGTTTGTTGAAGTCAAGCAAGTTTAAAAATGTAAATTATGTAGTCTTTTCCTAATGGTTGAAAACAAAACATTTTTAATGCTGTATTATTGCATAACGCGAAAATATTACTGGATGTTCACTTGAAGTTGAGTAAACATTGTAATTAGAAACCACACAATTTATTAATTTCAAATTTCTGTATAAAATATGGCATATGAGAATGCATAATTGCCTTTTCCATTTCATAAACATGTCAAAAACAATTTCCTAAATTGCCATTTAAGCTAATAGTTCCTAGAGGAATAGCTTGTCGCTTGTCTTTGTGCTACATAACGTAATAGAATCTATCAACCACCGACCAATTCTTAAACTTTATTCATTTTATTTTAATTTATTTAAAGTTAATCAACCTTATTTGCAAATCATTGCTAATTTGATTGTCATCTATATATTTTCTGCTTTTTCTTAAAATTGCAGGTACTATGCATATGTTTATCTGTGTTTTATATCTAGTATTTGAATTGCTGCAATAATTGGAATAGATGTTCTAATTTTAGGCTTTTTTGTCGTTTTAAAACATTTCTGGTCTATTTTTTTCTTCAAGCAGTTTTGATTTTGTTCTTTAAGTTATCGTTCTAAACGCAAGACGAAGATGACGAAGAAGAAGAAAAAGAGATTACGTCGTTTTATACGAAACCCTATACAAGAACTAAACCTTTTTAAGATTAATAAAATCAAACATAAATGGAAGTTGGAGCTAAAACGACGGATTTAACAAAATCAAAATGAAAAGGACACCGATTTTCGCTTTTTCTCAAAGCTTAAAAATAAACATTGCTTTAATTGGTTTACCATGCAAAATGCATAAATAAAAAAAAATCATGCAATCATGCTTTCGTGCGTTTTAAAAAAGTTTACCGAATATATTTTTCAAAATACATCGTCTATGTCTGTTTATCGCTCGAATATAACGTCTCCCTAAAAATGAAATAGATATTTTATTTGAAGTCACAACATATCAATATACCTCGTTTCCTGGCTAAGTATTCTGGAACATGTGTCGTCCTATCTTCCTTTGGCCTCGGTGACCAATGAACCATATTGGGATCAGGTGTTGTTAGTTCGAAATGAAGCTGAGTAGTGTGTTTCTCTTCGTTTTGTTTTTTGAACCAATCGGGAGGGATATATGGGATGTTCCAACGAGGGATGCTTCCATTAGAGTTGGGATCTTCTATCCAGTGAGCAGGTTTCTCCAAGTCAATTTTGATATTTATCCATTCTTTCTGATCCTGCCACTCTGGAGGTTTAGCGACATCTGGTGGCAACCAGAACGAGGTTTTTGGGGTCAGATTGTAATCACGGATAACAGGTGGTTCAAGATATTCCCGTATATGTACTTTTCTTGTGATTTCTGTGATGCTAGGCGGTCCACCACTTACTGGAGGTGGTGTGGTGGAAAGTGGGACAATATAAGATGCTATTGGAGGCCCAGATTTTGACTGATGAGTTGATATGCGAGGGAAGAAGTTTCGAGAAAGATCATTTCCCCCTGGACCAGATGGAGTATCAGAGGAATATCTATTCACTACTTTTACAAGAGTGTTGGTATTATGTTGGAAAAGACGGTGAATGGAAGTACCGTAGTCTTTTCGTTCTGAAAGAAAGGTGTACATGCAATAAAGAACAGGCAAATTCACGTCCCAGCATATTTCTCTTATGCAAAGCATGCTAAAGCTACCACCATCATAATTTCTTGAACGCTGAAAGATGTATAGGGCTGTCACCGATCACACATCATTCTCTACTAGAAGCCAAATACGAAAAATCATCTAACATTTCTAATTTTCGCAGAAAAGTACAGAAATTCATAAAACAAATGATACATCTTTTGTATGTATTTTTTTTTTAAAATGGTTTAACCTTAACGAATAGGTAAACATTTTTGTATATAAAAGTTAGAAGGTGAAGTTGAAGATTACCTTTATCAAGGCCATGGTCCCGTCCCTGTTTAGGGGAGTTTGGAGTGTTAGGGCTATCTGTTGGGATCTCAGGTTCTTCAACACTTTCACTGCTACTGTACTCTTCACTATAAGAATCATAGTAGCTACCTCCACTACTTGAGTCACCTTGGTCTCCGACTTTTCCACCACGTGACGAATCTTCGTCCGTATTTCCACTGAATGATCCACTGCTGCCTGAGTCACTACTACTACCTGATTCACCACTGTTAGACCCGTCTCCATTCTCGCTAGATCCTGATTTGTTATCACCATCTCCTTCTTTATCCTTACATTTGCATTTTTTTCTCTCAGAGTTCCCATCACCTGAATCTTCACTGGAGGAATCGTCGCTGCTGTCTCCAGATGGAACTGTAAGACTGAATCCATTGTTGGATTTCACATCTCCATCTAACTCTCCTGATTCGTGGTTGTTTCCACCATTAGATTCACTACTTGAACTATCCGAACCTGTTGATCCTTCGTTTGAGCTGCGTGCCACTTCACTTGAACTTAACATACTGTCTGATTTTACGTTCAAACCATCATCCTTTACTCCTTCATTATTTTCACTAGATGAGGATTCATCACTTGACGAACTGCCGGATCCACCTGAACTACTTTCTTTTTTTGAAGACTGGGAACTTATTTTGTCAAGAATGTTAAAATCTCCTCCATATGTCTCGTAATCCTCTGCTTCTTCTGAATCATCCAAATACACATCAGGCACGACGTTAGACTCCTGAATAGCATGATTCACCGTGCTTTCGGTTGTAACTTCGTCGACTGTGGTGATTTGCCCGTCGTCTACTTTTGCAACATTTTCTTTCTCATACAGATCAGTCAAAAACCCTCCGAATAAATTCATATTATCATCCTCCTCTTTATAATATGTGTCCTCTGTAGGTTGTGGAGGTGGTGTTTGTTCACCACCAGAATATGCTACAGTTGTTGCGAGTGTTATCACCGAATCACTATTATCGGATGTAGTACCGACCTCATCTTCGGAGTCACTATACACAACACCACAACACATTACAAAGAAAATTCCAATTTTGAAAATATTCTTCCGTACTCCCATTTTTGCCATATCTGAAATCAAAATAAAGTTACTTGAAAACGGCTGTGAATATTATTTGTCGCAAAATATTACGCATTGTTATTTATGATCGCATCAACGAAGGCTGTGAAATGAAGAAAACATATTGATTAATATCTTTATAATTTTTGCATGAAGGCATGTAAATGAGAAGTCAAAAGCCAAAATTGATTGACGTGTTGATGTCAATGTGACTGTGTGATTGGTGCACTTTTATGTCACGTGGTAAACGTTCAGTTTAAATAACATCTGGCTCATTTTGCTAAAGGCCTCCAACCTATGACAAAAACGTGTAAATAAATTACTCTGTAATATAAAATAGGTAATGAGGAAAGTTAGAAAAAAAACATAATTCAAAAGGTGACAAAATTAAACATTTAGAGATGCTTTTTGTCAGATTGTATTTTAAGACATGGATTTTAATCGAAGCTTTCTGGATTATACTGTTTGATAAATTGTGAAAGTTTGTACATGATATGTCATTCAACTCTCAAATTTTACACCTATTTAAATATATTTTTCAGGATTGTAACCGTTCTCCATGGACATTGCTATTGTTAATCGACTTTGAAGAGTTATTTGCGGTGAATAACTACTCAGCGTTATATATTTGGTCAAAATTCTTGGCAAAATCTAACATACTTTGTTGATTCTTTAGACAGTACAAAGTATTTGGTAGCGCAGAGCTGTCAAAAATAATTTCGCCGTCATTGACCTGCATGCATCAAAAAAATCAGCAACGTCGTATATATCATAAACTTCTGTGTGTTTGAAGATCTTGATATTAGCGTTAATTACTTCATGATTGATAGATCCGAAGTAGAAATAAATTGTCTTATGGTTAATTGTCATAGTCATAAATTATTTTCTTGTTGAGATTCCAACTGGCCGGAATGTGGTTTTTTTCACAACAGGCATTTGAATGAAACCTAACTTAATCTACTGTACATTTTAAAAAAAATCTACCTTTTTGCTATTTTCACCGGTATTCAAATTAATGAAATCTATTAGCTCTGCGGTGACCCATGTTTAAATTAAAAATTAATAAAGTATCTACACAGCTTAAGTATGATCAAGTAAAATCTTCCTAACAGACCCCAAAATTGTAATTATTTAAATCAATTAAGCAAATGTTACCTAATTCCTGATCATGATCTTTTTACTGATTACCTAAAAACCGAAATGATTGATTGAATGTATTTTAAACATAATTGAAAAAAAATGAATAAAACCAAATCAAAAACGCTATAACAAACCACATAAAAATAGAATAACACGAGTAAATGAAAAGAATAATTGAAACGGATATTTTTACTAAGACGTCGAAAAAAAAAGACTAAAAAAGAATAAATTATTAAGACTATGTCTCCCCAAATAAAAATAATTAAAAATACCTTAATATGCGTCATCTTTAAATTAGCTTGCGTTTTTCAAAAACCAATACGTTTACTTTTAAAGAATGAGAAATTATTGGATATTCTTTCTAGTTTGTAACGTAAATAAAATCCTTGTCTTGTGTGGGTTATATTCTTAACTAAAAATGCATTCAATTTGAAAATGGAGTATGTTGTGAACACTTTTGTGATTGTTGCAAATTCGACATTTTTCTTTTTAAATTTCAAATTAAGTTAACACATTCATTGATAGATTTGATTTAATTATTATAATATCAAAGGTTAAATAAAAAGAAAACCCACATCACATAACTTCCTTCTATAAAATCCTTAACGAAGATTTGACGACGATGGAGAGACATGGCCCTCGTAATAAATCATGGGATATGAAAATATATATCTCTTTTTTCATACCCTATAGTTGTTGATGGCAATGCATAAAATGAGATGATTATATAATTTTTATGCTAAACACGTACGTCTTTTTAATCTATACTTCATTTACAAACAATCCTCGGATGTAATTGTAACATTAAAAATAAACCTCGCGAGCAGAATATTGAAATAAGTACAGAGCATTATTTCTTTTACGTTTATTACACCATGGCACATAAGAAGTCACCAATCATAGATAACTTGGATATAAAGATTGACTTGTGTTTTATTGGACAAAATGCAGATATAGAATCTAATCATTAGCATCCTAAGAGGCGAAAGGAGATGGGGTAGGGGGAAGAGTGGTGTGGTCATATCTAAAACAATGCAATCCTTAAAAGTTGTGTTTGCTTATGTATTGACTTAAAAATATTGGGTGATCCTAGGTTTGACTTCAAAATACACAACTATCAGATGTCCTTTTTGAATAATATTAAAATAATTTTTTGACAATTTCACCATACATTTGTGAAAATAATGTAAATCAGAATTTAAAAAAAAATATTTAAGAACTTGGCAATAACTTTTTATAAAGGACCTGATTAAACTCTAAATATCATAACCTTATTTTATTTAGTGAAACGAAATAGGGATAAAACGAAAGGTCTTCGTATCTGAATATCTTTTTTAAAAATTCCTGTTTATCTCAAGTTAACATAAAGTGAAAGCAAATCTGAGCTTACTTCATATGAGATCTTGAAGAGAATTCCTTTAGTCTATTTGAAATTAATAAAACATTTATCAAAAATAAGCATACGATAATCTTAATTTGTTTTCTGGTTGAATTTTTAAACAATTTTCTAATTTAATTTCTGAAAGTTAATTTTTAATATAATATATTTAATGAAATAACAAAATCATCTTTCTGTTCCAAGTAACCCACAAGAAGACGATTTAATTTATAAAATCAACTGTAAATTAATGCAACCATACTTACCTAATAGATATCTGCAAATAATTTAGATATTGAAATCCAAAAATCCAATTTACAAATACAAATGAGGAGCGAGCACCATGACCCGACACCTCCGAGGGCAAACACCTTAAACACTACAGAGAAGGCAACGAGATCTGGCGAGACTTCATAGGCCGCCCAAGATTTTATTAATCCGTCACTGCCTACGTCTCAGTATGCAACAGGTGAGGTAAAGGGGAAAACACTTCTTAGAAAAATATTACCAAAGTATATAACGTGGATAAGAGCTTTTTGTTTGCTCTAGAATTTATGTGTTTTAATTATGTTAATCAAAGAAATTTGCATGACATATCCAATCAACGTTTAACTGGTAATTAATTTTCACATGTATACTTTTGTACTAGAATATCAATTTGAAATTTATTTTGAAGTACATCATTTATCTTTATTTTTCGGAATTCTTTGCAACACCTGGACCTAGGATTTTGAAATTATACTATCAAAATCTAAATGATGTAATTTAAATCAAACAGTTCAGAACATATATATGTCAATGAACATTGTCTCACCAACTTGCCGTTATTTGCAAAATTTAGAGAACTATCTTTTTCCTTTAAAAAAAAAAAACATCCTCCAGTAGACTGGAATTCTGACGTCTAGATCTTCAACATCTTTGTAGGGCCAGAACCTAAATTGTTTTGATTTTTTTTATTGTTTTAAACATAGTTCTACCTTTCTAAAAACGCATAAGTCAAGATTGAAGAAGCGTCTTCTTGATTTTGTTTTAAATTCGCCTTGTAAACTCCAGTCATATTATCTACCATTAGTACTAACTATTTAAATATAAAATTTATACCGATCTATTTATATTTTGTCCGCAATGTTTTTGCCTTTGTCACATTTTTGAATAAGATTAACTTCACAATATAATATGATCAGTCATCGTAATAGGTTAAAAATAAAATTATATTCTAAATATCCTGTAAGCGGTAGCTGGTTTTGAATTCCTACATAACTATAATGATTTCAGCTGACTCAAACAGAAACAATATTTCCTTTCAAAACCTTTCTTCATAACTGAGACACCTGATTTACGTGAAGGTTGACTTAAGGTTGACTTCGTAATTTGCTTCACAGTCTTTGTCGCATTAAACTGCACTAAATCATTTTACCAGATTTAGGAGTGCATCAAAATGAAGCTGTTGTAGGGATGTGACTCCAAAGTCACGGTGCTTAAATTACCAAAAAAAACGACTCTTTTCAAATTGATATCTTGCTTTGCTATTACAGTAATTATTTACCCTCTCCATACGTCATCCATCTCTCGTATACCTCATCCCCAACCTTTGGCGAAGAACTGACATGTACATATCATTTATTACAATGCCCCGAAATTATTCATTAGTCTTTCAATTTTAGCGACCCAAGAGACACCTAATTTCAAGGGCTGAGACATTTAGATGCCTCTTCTTTTTCTTTTCTTTTTATTTTATACAGGTGATGAACCAATCCACAGCTGTTACTTGTGATGGTATACTATCTCATATTTAAATTAAGTCTTACAAGTAATACTCTCTTAAATAATTACTGTCATCTTGGCGTATTTCATGTATCTTTATATTTATTTTCTTAAATGATGGTGTGCAGAGGTTAAAATTGTCTAAAGGTCTGTATCAAGCTGTTTTTAATAGTGAAAACAGATTGTCCTCGAATTCAACTTTCAAACTTTATTCCATTACAGGTATCTTTCTATTGGTAACAAATAACTACTTTTCTAAATATGTTTAACAGAATTTTCGTATATCTAAATGTCTTTGACTCCTCACTCTAGATCAAATGAATACGAAACATTTTGTGTCTGAGGCAGTGCGAAGTATGGATATCACTCATCATACGTATGGGCAAACTTGAAATTGATAGAATTTTTATATTTTATACAAACACCATCAATTCTGTTTTTCAAAGGCTATCTTTTTGAATCAATTTGAATGGCATTAAGACAACTTTCGGAAATTTCTGAGGAAAGCATCACACTGTCGTATACTATTTCCGCTTTGCCCGAAGCTAGATACAACCAGTTACAATATTATTGGATGTTATGATGTTTTATTTTGCATCCCTCATACTGACATATTTTTCCATATTATTCTTTTGTTTTTCGCCTCCTAGATGACATTTGCATACATATTTCTATATTCATGCTACCTGTAATTTTTCTTCGTATTTTCTTTCCTTTCTTGTGAAATTTATTGTATTAATTTTTTTTGTTCTTGGTGTGAATTACTAGTAAATTATTTAACAACAAAATAGACGTCTATTTTCATTGGAGAATAAAGTTATGTGGTTATAATGCTGTGTTTATCTGTGAATGCATGCTATTTACATTAAAGCTTAAATCTGAATACGGAAGTTAGAATTCGAAGGATCATGTTTGAAACAACAGTCAGAAAATGTTTATGACTTGAATAAAAATAAATGACGAAGTAAATTGCAGAAAGAGCATCAAAAACCTCACAGATTATTCGCTTTTCTTAACTTACTTATAATAAAAAATATATTTGACACTTGTTAAGCTTGGTTTTATGTCCAATCTGATGTTAAGCATATTGTAATCGTTGGTGTACTGAATTATAAATTGTCTTCAAACCGTGTTTCACTGTTATTTATGGTAAACTAAGTCCGTAAAGTATATATTCAAGCTTATTGGACAAGTGAAACCACAGAATCTTCTACAAAATGTATGTTAATCTTAGTTATTTAATTAAGTAATGCAATTGCAGTAAAATGAAGCCATGATAGCACCATTTGACAACTAGAAAAGTAATACACACCGTATAGAAGTCATTATCATAAATTTTTAATATAAAGCAACCAATGTTTTTGTAATTGGTTAAAAAGTAAGCATAAAAAGATAATTTATATTTATATGATAAAACGTAAATTTATCTTATTGAAAAAATTGCAAATGCACGAATAGATTTGATGTCAAAGTTTATATAAAAACTAGTAATTATTAACATTTTATTAATTATTATTATATTATTCATGAAATATGAAATATTGCAGATTATTGATGTTACATGTAAGAAGATTACACTTCATTTAAATACTCAAATTTGATAATATATTAAAAAACTATTTTTTTTTCATATGTAGTTATTAAGGTTAGAGAGAGAGAGAGAGAGAGAGAGAGAGAGAGAGAGAGAGAGAGAGAGAGAGAGAGATTGTTGTTTCTATAAAAAGTGACCCCTTTTATTGACATGAATGGTTCGATCAATCATGAACTGTTCCACTTGTTGTCAGTTATGTGGAATATTTATACGACATATTGATATGCTACTAGAAGAATGGAATCTTTGAACAAGATCTACTCCCCTGTTAATTAAACTCTCTTTTTCATAGATATATGATAGTTATATGGCATTGCATCCTTTACAATTGTCAGTAAGGCAATTGATTCCTTGTAATTTTTGCTTTGAAATTTCCTTTGAATGTAGCAACAAACTGAGTTATAAATAGATGCTGAAAGTAAATATGTATCTTATTACCTAGAAAAAATCTGCCACATGAAGAAAAGGTTTCTTTTCTGACCCACCTTATGGGTAATTTATAGTGTAAAATGTTGGTAATAAATATGGTCAGCTATTCAATCTTGGAACAATTCGTGTGGATAGAAAAAAAATTGTTATAAAATGATTTGATAGAATTCACCTAGGTACACATGATTCTTAGTGAGATTGTTTTTGTTTTTTGTTTTTTTTTTAACTGTAAATGATATATATAAAAACGCCTGGTTCTCTTATTTTTCAAAATGAAGTGAAATAATTATTACTATTTGGTATAATTAAAAATCCAGCTAGAAATGACAACGAATCACTAAGGAATATTTAAATTCAGACTAATATTTACACACATTGAGAAAGATAAAAATACACCTATGAATTTCAGCGGGGAAAACCCTCGGTCAACTACAATTCAAACAAAACATTAATGTACGAAATCTAATTAGTGCCTTTACACCGTTTCTAATAAAATCAATTCAACTGTACAAAAGGTTAATTCAAACTGATATGGCACAGCATTTATGAATAGTATTCAACGTCTATATATAAACCATGATTTCAATTTTAATTGCAAATCATTAATATAAACTAGTTATTTATTATTCAATTCAAGAATATCGAGAATCCTCGTTTGTACATTTCTTTAAAAAAAAAACAATGACTAAACCCGAGTTAATGAAATTAAGAATTATAAGCTATGACAAAACATGAACGACTTTGTCGTATAGAGAATTTATATAATTTGACCTTAATGCTAATATACGAGTGAACATATAAATGTAATACTGTTTCTAACACGAATAAGTAATTTTGCTTCTTGAGCAATTGCTTGTAATGTAGTAAATGCTTTTAGGCAGGTTACAATTGTTTTTAAAGACAGGAATACAATTATTAACATCCTGTTATACAAGAATTGACAACACTGTTAAACGATGTTTCTTTCATGTTTTACACCAAGTCGAGCCCAGAGGGTCAAAACCAGTAATATTACACATTTGCATGCGAAATACACATTTTTCATACAATTAAATTCTTTAGAAAATAGTTTATTCGAAATACTAGCTCTCATTGAAGTGAAATGTCCCATTTTCTTCAGGTTCAAAAAGGTCTGCAGTAATTTTAACATTTTAACATTGAACATTTTAACACAGAAAACTGATGGCAAAGAAGACGCCCTTGTCTCACTTCATTCAGTCATAAAAATAGAAATGAATGCTATTATGTCTCGGTGCACAGTTAACGCCTACTTAACACTGACTTTTCATAGATTAGTCTTTGACATATAGGCGTAAATAAAGGCAATAAACCAGCATGGGATTTATTTCATATAATGATTCATTGAATATTTGTATGAACTGAAAATGGGTATATATATACGAATGTCAGAATTCGTGAAAAAAAAAACGGCAGAAAATGCGAATTGAATACGAAACCATAACGACTTATTCCTTGATGGAATTTAAAATCTATATTTAGTAAAATATTTGTATAGCACAAAAAATAAATGCATTACTGATTTTAAAAAAAAATATTTAGAGATTTCTAAATTTTCTCTTTATGGACACGTAGTTTGGATATGATCACTGTCTACAGGTCAGAAACAT